TATTCCTGGAACGTGGTAGGAAAGGTTATTGGCCATCCCACTAATGGAGTGGGAGAGGGTGGGGGAAATGCAGAAGGAACAGTGACTTCCAAAGAGCAAAAAGTTCTAAATTTTCATTGATTTTTTTCTTTTATACTTCATACTTTTTTGAACTGTGTAAGAAATCTATGCCAAACATAAAGACACTAAAATTGTGTCCTGTTTTCTTCTAGGAGTTTTATATTTAGCTTTTATATTTAGTCCTATGATGTATCATGAATTAAATCTAATATATTGGTGGGGTTGGAGATTTTTTAATATATCTAGTTGTCCCAAGATATTTTGTTGAAAGTTACCCTTCCCTAACGGGATTGCCTTTAACCTTTGTGAAAAGCCAAGTGAATATATATATATATATATATATATTTCTGGACTCTACAGTACCTAGGATCTATTTGTCCATCTTTACATCAATACCATATTATCCTGACTACTGTAGCTTTGTAATCAGTTTTGAAGTTATGAATTTGTCCCTCCAAATTTGTTCTTATATTTCAAAATTGTTTGGGCTATTATAGGTCCTTTGCAGCTAAATATAAGTTTTGAAACCAGAATTTTCATATTTACCACACACACACAAAAAAAGCCTATTTAGACTTTTGTTGAGATTGCACTGCATTAATCTATAAATCAATTTGGAGGAGACTGACATCTTAAGAATATTGTTTCCAAGCCATGAACACTGTATATCCCATTTAGGTCTTCATTAATTTCTCTCAGCAATATTTTATAGGTTTTACTGCACAGGTCTTTCACATCTTTTACTAAATTTATTCCTAAGATTTTGATAATTTTGGACATGATAGTAAGTTGCATTATTTCTTAATTTCAATTTCTGATTGTGCAAGGTAAACATATAGAAATACAATTAATGTTTGTATATTAAACTTATAATATTAATCTTATATCCTGCAATCATGCTAAACTCATTTTAAGGTTTTCTACAAATCATCTCTGAATATAGTTTTACACTTGATCTTAGCCAAAAGGCCAAGAAGCGATTTTGAATATAGTTTTAATCCTTCCTTTCTGATGCCTTGTTTTGTTTTGTTGTTTTTTTGCCCTATTGCACTGGCTGGAACCTCCTGTAAAATGTTCAGAAGCAATGACAGTGGACATACTTGCATTAAACCTGTTGGGAGAAAGGCATCCATATTCACCATGTTTGCTGGAGATTTTTTTTAAATGTGCTTTATCAAACCAAGGAAATTCCCTTTAAATTCTAATTTGCTTAGACCTTTTATCATAAATTAGTATTGAATTGTCAAAAGAACCTTCAGCATCTATTAATCATGTGGTTTTTCTCCTGTATTAATATGGTAACTTGTACTAGTTGACTTTCAAATGTTCAATCTACATTATTGGGATAAAACCCATTTGGTTAAGATGTATCATCCCTTTTTATATAGGATCATTTGTTGAATTTGATTGGCTAAAAATTTGCTAAAACTTTTTCTGTTGATGTTCATGAGGAATAATTGTCTAGTTTTCTTTTTTTTGTACATACCCCTAAGCAAGAATCGAACCCCGGACTCCCTGGTCCACAGGCCAACACTCCAACCGCTGAGCCAAACCAGCCAGGGCTAGTTTTGTTTTCTTAACAATATCTTTGTCTGGTTTAGAGATTACAGCAATGTTGACCTCATAGATAGAGTGGAAGAGTATTCTTTCCTTTTCAGTTTCCTGGGAGAGGTAGTGTAGAATTGGTATTATTTCTTCCTTGAATAGGTAGTAACATTTACCACTAAAGAGATTTAGGCCTATAGTATTCTTTGTGAGATTTTAAACTACAAATTCAATTTCTTGCATAAACAGGGCTATTTATGTTTTCTATTTCTTCTTGAACGAACTAAGATATTTTGTATCTTCCACGGAAATTTGTTACCTCTCACATTCTTGGCATTGGCCATTTCTTTCTTTTTATCCTGTTCAGTCTAAACAGAGGTGTATGAATGGTTTTTGAACTTCTCAAAGAAACAGCTTTTGGTTTAAAATTTTTCTATTACTTTTTTCTTTCCAATGTCATTGATTCTGTTCTACTTTTGTTATTTCCCTTCTGCTTGTACTTTTACTTGCTCTTCTTTTTCTTAAGTGGAAGCTGGGGTCATTCCTTTGAGACTTTTGTTTCTAACATAGCATCTAGTGCTATAACTTTCCCTCTAAGTACTGTCTTCACTGCATCACAGGATACAAGGTCAACACACAAAAATCAACTGTATGTCCATATACCAGCAATGAAAAAGTAAAAACCAAAATCAGAAAAACAACACCATTTACAATAGCTCCAAAAAAATAAATACTTAGCTCTAAATCCAGGCAAACTTGTACAGGACCAGTATGCTGAAACTACAGTGCTGATGAAAGAAACAAAAAATGGAAATAAATGGAGAGACATGTCATGTTCATGATATAGAAAATTAACCATCATTAATATGTGAATTCTCCCCAAACTTATCTACAGATTTAATGCAATTCCAGTGAAAATCCCAGCAGAGCTTTTGTGTAGATAAGCTGATTCTAAAATTTATATAGAAGGCAAAACTGATAGGAAAGCTAAAATAATTTTGAAAGAATAATCTTGACCATGTGGTATTGGTAAAAGGAGAGACTCACAGAGCAATGGAAGAAAATACAAAGTCCAGAAATAAACCCATACTAAAATGGCTCACTGATTCTGGACATAAAGTTACAAAAGAAATTCAGTGGAAAAAGAACAGTCTTTTTGCCCAGCCGGTGTGGCTGTGGTTGAGCATCAACCCACGCATCAAGAGGTCGCCAGTTCGATTCCCGATCAGAGCACATGCCCAGTTTTGGGCCCAATCCCCAGTGGGAAGTATGCGTGAGGCGGACAATCCATGTTCTCTCTCATCGATGTTTCTATCTCTCCCTCTCCTTTCCTCTCTCTGAAAAAAAATATATATGAAGAAAAAATATATATGGATTTAAAAAAAAAAGAATAGTCTTTTCAACAAATGGTCCTGGAACAACCAGACATCTATCCATATGCCCCCAAAAACAAACAAAAAACATAAACTTCAAACTTAAAAAAATGAACTCAAAATAGATCATAACTCTAAACTTAATGTTAAACCATGCAACATTTAGAAGAAAATATAAAAGAAAATCTTAAAGAACTGAGGCTAGACAAAGGTTTCTTAGACATCACACCAAAAAGCACAATCCATACAAGAAAAAAAATTGATAAACTGGACTTCACCCAAAGAAAAACTGTTGCTCTGTGAAAAACACTGTTAAGTGAATGAAGAGACAATCTGCAGACTAGGAGAAAATATTGCAAAGCATGTAACTGACAAAAGATTTGTATCCAGAATACATAAAAAGTCTAAGCTCAACAGCAAAAATTCTTCCCAATTTAAAAATGACCAATAGCCCCGTCTGGTTTGGCTCAGCGGTTGGAGCATCAGAGTCACAAGTTTGAGTCCAGTCAAAGGCATGTACCTCGGTTGTGGTTCGGTCCCCGGCCCTAGTTAGGATTGTGAGGGAGGCAACCAATCAATGTCTCTCTCTCTCTCCCTCCCACTGTCTGAAAAATAAATGGAAAAATATCCTCAGGTGAGGATTTAAAAAATAATAATAAAAATGAACAAAAGAAAAAAGTAGCAAAATAATTTTTCTAAAAGGCAAAAAAAGAAAATGAACAAAAGATTTGAACAGACACTTCTCAAAGAAGATACACAAATGGCAAATAAGCACATGAAAAGATGTTCACCATCATTCCAGTAGGAAAATATAAAGTAAAACCACGGGGAGACTTCACTACACCTCTATTAAAATGGCTAAAATAAGCCCTGGTCAGTTTGGCTCAGCAGTTAGAGCACTGGCCTGCAGACCAAGGAGTCCCGGGTTCAATTCTGGCCAAGGGCACGTACCTTGGTTGTGGTTAGTCCCCAGCCCCACTGGGGCCATGCGGGTGGCAGCCAATTGATGCATCTCTCTCACATTGATGTTTCTCTCTCTCCCTCTCTGCCTCTCTCTCTTTCCCTCCTACTCTCTGTATGAAGATAAGTGTAAAAATGTCCTCAGGTGAGGATTAAAAAAGAATAATAAAAATAAAATGGCTAAAATAAGAAATACTGACAATACCAAGTGCTGGTGAAGACAAAGAGCAACTAGAACCACCTTTTTGCTGAGTAATGTGTTCCAAACACACTAAAGAAATGCACTTACCGGAAGTAATATTTGACATTGTGACTTTAGGCAGAAACACTCACCAGTTGACTGAACACGTTTCTAATCAGAGAACACATGGAACAAATTTGAATTGTGCATATTTGAAGGAAGTATAAAATGTTTTTGTTGGCAAGGGTGGAATCCTCTAGAAATAGTTCACTATTTCCTCCTTTTTAAAGACACTCTTGAATTTAGCCTTTGTTTAGTTCTAAAGGAGTCAGCAAACTTTTCCTGTAAAGGGTCACAGTAAATATTTTCAGCTTTGTAGGCCATAAGCCTCGGCTGCAACTGCTTAACTCTGCCCTCAGCAGAGCAGCAGAGACTACGGACATTCGTTTCTACTGGGTGGGTTCCAATAACACTTCTCTGAAAACTGGCTGTGGCAGGTTTGGCCCCCTAACGGATGCAGGGGCTGGGGCAGCAGAGGAGCCGCAATCACCCATGGGAACTCAGCTGGCCGCTTTCCAGACCAGGGCCACTCCCATTAGCACTAAGCATTTCATTAGCAGCTTCCTGGTTTTGTTGAAGAAACATCTCAACTGCTTGCAAGCAATGGCCCTAAGGCAGTTTCTAATTCTGCTTAAGCAGCCCAACCCTGTATCATTAGCTCTGGGGGTGGGACCCAGGTGACCTTAAAGCACAAGGACAAGGAACAGTGCCTTGCTCCTCCAGGCCAGCTGGTGGCCTAAGGCCAGGGTCCAGGATCCGCTGAGGTCCCAGGTCTTCACAAAACCACAGCAGGCTTGAAGGAACAGACTTTATTAATCTAGCTCTCAAACACTAGAGGCTAAAATTATAGCAACGTATTTACAGAGTGCTACCTGCGGGCCAGGCAAGGCTGGGCCAGGTACTTCCCCAAACATCCCCCAAGCGCAGCCTCCAAGCAGGACGGGGCCACTTGCCATCTTCAGCACACAGAGAACGTTTATGTTTATGTCCATGTGACCAAACCCTCAGTGACCGAATACAAGGCAGGAGGGCACCAGAGCAACAGAGAGATGGACAGACACACAGATGGGCTGACATAGCCAGGAGGGCCGGTGGGCAGCCTCAGTACTTCTTCAGGCTGCTGGTCAGGCTGCTGGGGACCCTGGTGCCCTGCAGGGGCGGCGAGTTCCAGACGGCGGAGCTGGTGCGCTTGTGGTAGCGAGGCTTGCTCTTCTTGAAGATGTCCTCCAAGTCCAGCTGGAGAATGGTTCCAAAGAGCTCGAGCAGGTTCGGGGGGTGGTAGTACTGGTGGATGATGGCCTGGCTGAGCTGGGTGCCTGCAGGGGACCACAGGGCCGGGTCACTGTCTTGGGGCTCCCCAAGCCCCTGCCCCACCCAGAGCCCTTGTCAGCATCTCCACACCAGCACACCTCCACCTCCTGCCACGTCAGCTCCTCTGGGCCCCTCCTCCCGCCCACCACCGACACTGTAATGCTCTCTGCACGGTCCTATCGCCACCGTCTGGCAGCCTAGTTGAATACAGGTTCTCAGGAGCTCACGGGGAACAGACTCTCGTTATCTCCACACCCACCTGGGAGCCAGAACCCCCAGCCCAAGCTCTCAGTGCACTGCTAAACCCATTGCCACTCTTCACTCTATTCCCACCTAGGCTGCTTATTTAGGTCCAAGTCTCATCTGGCCTGCTGGGCAGGACTCCAAGGAGAACCTAGAGCCCTAGCCGAACACCCAGCACCATGGTGCCCACAGCCAGCTGCAATTTCATACATTTGTTGAGAACAAAGTCAAACATCTGGTCCAGAGATGAGCCCACTGGCCAGAGTGCCCACCCTTCCCTGAGCACATCCCAAGGCCGGAGCAGGCTCATTAGGCCAATACATCAAGTTTCCAGTGCATGAGCACCACAGCCTGCCAACACCTACATCGGCCAAGCCTCTCCTCCAGGGCCCCCAAAAGTCACAAGTGAGAACCCAGGTCTCCAGGGAGCTCTGGGCCCGGCTTACCTCTGGCCCAGGCAGGGATGGGCTTCCGGGGATGGGCCTCATCATCAGTGGAGTCATCACTATTCAGATCCATCCCATAGTTATCCGGGTTGATCTTGGGGGGAGCCCTGTGCCCTTGTGGAGTCATTTGATACGAGGTACAAGCCGGAGACTAGAAAAGATAAGCAAGGCCGTCAGCTCCCTCCTCCCCGACTCCCGCGGCTCCCACCACAAGGAGCACGGGCTCGGGCCACTCCCTCATCTCACAGGGAAAACCAGAAGGCTCAGGGGGGCTGGAAAAGTCCAGCCCACATCCAGCTCTATGTTCCTTCTTCACATTCAAGTGAGTTACAAGCATGCTTCCAGGTCAGCGTGTCTGCTGTGAACAGCTCGTGGGGACTCCGCTGGGGACCCCGATTTGAAACTTAAACATCGTATAGATGAACGTTAACCTAACTTCCGCCTTCCAACACCTTAGCCTGCGCTGCACGGCAAACCCTTCCTCACAGCACACTGTTTGGAAAGCATTAAGCTGGACGTCACCTTGATGCTTGTCAACAGGAGCTGGGTAAAGAAATTCTGGTATACCACAGTCAAAATACGAGATCTGCAAGTGCTAAAATAGACAGATGTGTACAATATACTAAAAAAAGAAAAAGAAAAAAGAATCAAGCTGTCAAAAAACAGTATGTATCATGGAGTAAATGTTTGTGTCCCCCCAAAATTCCTATGTAAAATCCTATCCCTCAGCATAATGCTATTAGGGGGTGGGGCCTTTGGGAGGTGCCTGGATTATGAAAGTGGGGCCCTCATGAACGGGATTAGTGTCCCTCCGTCTCCCTTCCACCGAGCGAGGGCACCTGAGAACACCCTGTCTGGGAACCAGGAAGAGGGCTCCCAGCAGACAGTGAATCTGCTGGCACCTTGGCCTCGGAGCTCCCAGTCTCGAGGAATGCTTGTTTCAGCCGCCTGGCCTATGGGGCGTGCGAGAGCAGCCTGAGCAGAGCAGGAGAATGCATATGGTCTGGGTCCACTCGGAACTCTGTGCATGAATGTTTGTAAGTGTAAAAACAGAGAGAGCTAGACCAGACTCGGTTTTCATCTGAGGTTCCTTACTTTTACTTTAACTCTTTTATAAAGTTTAATTTCTTTTTTCCTTTTTTTTAAATCCTCACCCAAGAATATTTCTCCATTGATTTTTAGCTAGAGTAGGAGGGTGGGAGGGAGCGCGCGAGAGAAACATGGACGTGAGAGAGACACATTGACTGGCTGCCTTCTGCACAACCCTAACCGGTGCCAGATATTGAACCCACAACTGAGGTACGTGCCCTTGACCAAGAATCAAACCTGCGACTCTTCGGTCCGAGGGCCGACGCTCTAACTGCCGAACCAAACTGGACAGGGATAGTATCTTCCTTTTTTGTTTGTTTTTAAATAACAAATTCTATTTTGAGAATTAGATAGAACACATGCATCAAAAGTAGTAAAAACTACTGGGCCAACTGCATTCTTCCTCTTTCTTATGGTCCTTAAATATGATCGGTGCTCCAGCTACCGGAGGAGAGTAATCAGACCTGGTTATTCCGATCATTCCCTCTCCGCTCGGGTGCCCACGCCTCACCTGCACGTCCATGGTCCTGTTCAGGCCTTTGCTGGCCGCGGCAGCCTCCTTGGCGTTCTTCTCCCGCTCCTCCTGGAGGCGCTGCTGCTCCTCCTGGAACCAGCAGCCAGCCGGGAGTTAGGGACCACGTGAACGTGCTCCCCCCCACCCCCAGGCCAACCCCCGTGGAGCCAGGCAAGCAAGGCAGCTTCCACCCCAGGAGCCACTAGATCAGGGCTCCCCAGCCCAAAGCCCAGCACAGACCCCAAGCGAACCCCACACCCGGCCCCCCCTGTACCTTTTTCTTCTTCTCCTCCAGTTCCCTCTGCAGCTTCTCCTTCTGGAGCCGCAGGGCCTTCTCTCTCTCCTGCAGCTCCCTGAGGACCAAGCAAGAGCCTGTCAAGGCAGGAAGCTGAGCCCAGGCTCTGTTTCCATCCATGTCAGGGAAGCCAGGCCCATCGGCACTGGCCTTAGAAGACGAAACAGCAGAATGGGCACAGCAGCCAAGAGCCCACAGCTGCGCCTGTGCCTGAAGGGCTGGGACATGCACAGCCAGGGTGCAGGGAGCACTCAGCTTGAGAGTTCACCAAATTTGGACCCCATGCTATACAATGGAGATCATAACAGCTTTCCTCCAGGATCACGAGACTAGATGAGACCTGAGCTGCCTCTGATCGTCCGGGCCTCGGGGTGGACACAGCTCCGGCCTGGGGCTGGGCTGCTCTCCTCTGGGCTCTGGAGCCGCCTCCACTCACTAGCTGAAGACCTGAACGTCATGAACCTCTCTGCACCTGCCTCCCCCTCGGGAGATGGAGCTGCTGGTTCCTATGCCACAGGGGTTCTTCTGCCAGGTTCCCAAGAGAGGCCGTCGGAAATGTTGGGGCGGAAGAGGGGGGGACCTGAGTTCTCATCACCACAGTGGACGCTCATTTAGTGGGGAGGGCCTGCAATGCACCACAAGGAACTCCTGCTCAAATGCTCATGGGGGACCTGTTGAGAACCCCCGTCCCCCACCATGTAGCCGAGGACAAAATGAACCAAAGGGGCCAGCACCCTGACTGGAGGCAGAATTAAGAGTCCTAAGTGACCCCACCCATTACCTCCTCCATCTCCCACCACACCCAGCGGTCAGCCTGCTGCAGGCAGAAGCCTGGTCCACTTCTGCAAACCCCGACAGAAGGCGGGAGCTGCCTCCAGAGGACGGCTCTGCCTTGTCCACACGAACACCTTTGAGGATGCCGTGGCTGCCAGGGGCAATCCCACCAGCCCGGCCCTCAGGGCTCCCTCACCTCTCCGCCTGGAGCCGCTCCTGCTCCCTCCGCCGCTCCTGCTCCCGCTGCTCCGCCAGCTGCCGCTCCTGCTCCCGCTGCTCCGCCAGCCTCTTGGCCTCGGCCGCCTTCCGCAGCCGCTCCTGCTCCTCCTCCTCCTTCTTCTTCTTTTGCAGCAGCTCTTGGTGTCGCCGTTCTTCCTCCTCCTGTGAACGCAGAGCGAGGTCAGGGTCTCAGGCCAGGCCTGGGCTGGAGAGGGGCAAGAAAGGTCTTGGGGGGGGGGGGTGGCAAGAGACTTCTCCCTCCCAGAAGCCCAGGGGCCAATCACATCAGAGATCATCAGGGGCTGAGCCAGGGTCACCCCAGCCCAGGTGCCACAGAATCACCACCAGCAGCCTGAAAAGGCATCTTGTGACAACTTCTGTTGCTTCCACAGAAGATTTAGTGATTAAGAGTACAGACTGGAGTCAGACGCACTCGCGGTGGGACACTGGCCTATCATTTAAGCCCTTCTGGCCTGTTTCCCCATCAATCAAATGCGAACAACATGAAGTTGCTGAGTTTATACACATAACATACCTAGAACAGTGCCTGGCACATGGTACTTACTCAATACGTTTTGGCCATTAGTATTATAACCCCAGAGACACATTTGTGTTCCCTAGGGTTATAAAATCAACAGCTCCAAGAGGTAGGTCCCTACTCTACAGGTAAAACATAACCACAGCCCTAATCAAGTAGATGCCACTGCCTCCTGAAGGAACCAAAGCAGAGAGGTCAAGTAACCTGTCCAGGGCCACACAGCTAATAAAGAGCAGAGCCGAGATTGGAAGTCTGGCTGAGAGTCCATGCGCTTAGTCCTCAAAGTGACACCTCTACAGAAAGCCCAAAGCAGATTACTGTCACCATCCCCATCTGCAGGGCATTTGCTGAACCTCCTTAGGGCTTGAAGCCACATGATCCACCAACATTAACCCAACAAAGTGGAGTGTGCCCGGCAGTCCTCGGGACTGAGGCAGTGCCTGTCCAGCAACCCCTCCTTGCCACCCAAGCCCGTCCACCTGCATTCGCACCTGTTGCAACCACCTGAGCCTCCGTGCTTCCTCCTCCTGCTTCCTGCGTACTTCCACCTCCTCCATCTTCCTCGCTGCTGCCTTTTTCTTGGCCTTCTCCTCAGCCAATCGCTCCTCCTTGGCCTGCAGAGCCTACCGTTAGAGCAACCCTCCTACAGAGTGATCCCAGCACTGACAGGCACCCATGCCCCTGCAAACCCAGCTTGTTCCCCACAGCCCAGGGGAGGGGGCACCTGGACGCCAGTCCTGCCCGAGAGCAGCAGCCCACCCACTCGCAAAGGGCTGTGGCTTAGGCCTCCCACCCTCAGCTGGGCTCAGAACCAACTCCAGAGCCCCTGGAAGATCAGAAGTGTCCAGCGCGTCAAACCCATAACTTCTTGAGGGGTCCAGTTCTAACCCTCGGGCCACCAAGCTGGACCTGCCTAGGCTCCAGCAGGGGACAGCCCACGAAAACCTGGCCGTCCACCAGCCCACGGCTCACACCTTCTCAGTCTTCTCATCCAGCTGAGCAAACTTCTGCTCAATCTGCTTCTTCTTCTCCTCCTTCATCTGCTCCACCCGCTCCCGGGCCTGCAGCACCTTGCGGAGGCGCTCCTCACGCTTCCTGCGAACACACGGCAGTCAGGGGGCGCCCGTGGCCCGACGCGACCGGGGCCAGGAGCTAGGCCACTTACAGCTTCACCTCCTCCAGCCGCCGCCGCTTGTCCTCCTCAACCTTCTGTCTACGCAGCTGCTCAGCCTCCTCCTTCCGCCGCAGGTTCTCCAGGCGCTGCCGCTCCTTCTCCTAGGTGGGAGGCGGGCGTGAGGACAGTGGGTGTGAGGGCAACATGATGGCCCAGGGCAACCCCCAGGCCCACAGCCTCCAGCCAGGTGGGCAGCAGCATCAGAAGGCTTCTGAGGGCAGAGCTGCCCCCAAACCCTCCATTCTCACCCATACTGAGGCCTGGGCCTTCTGTCTTTCTTCTCAGGGGCTAAGGCTTGCTAAAGGCCTATGTCAAGGGCACTTGACTAGCCCTGCCAAACCGTGGGGAGCACAAAAACTAGGTTCAAAATTGCATGTATGCTCTGATGACAACTATGTACAAATACATTTGAAAGGAGAATGAAGAACAAGATTGGGAATTTATTACTACGCTTTACAACGTTTTTACTGTGTGTGTGTGTGTGTGTGTGTGTGTGTGTGTGTGTGTGTTAACAAGCAATCATAAAGCTTAGGGCCACTGGAAAAACAGAAAATCTCAGCAGGTAGATCTAAAGAACAAAATGAAAATTTTGGAACTAGTAACACAATAACTGAAATAAATTCATGGATGGGTCCAACAGCATATGGAAAAAACAGATGTCAGTGAAAAATGAAGATAAGTTAATATGTATCCAGTCTAAACACAGAGAAAAGACATTGAAGAAAAATGAATAGAGCCCGAGACAACTATGAGATAACACCAAAAGGTCCATCATTTGTACCATTGTCATCTCACACTGGGGAGAGTAGAATGCAGGAAAAAAATGTGGAAAAAACATGGCTTAGAAATGCTCCAGATTTGGTAAAAGATAAAAATTTACAGATTCATGAAGGTCATCGAAACCCAAAAAGGATAAATGCAAAGAAACCCACGTCTAGCCACATTATAATATCACTGCTGAACACTTAATACAAAGAGGGAAATTCTCTACTGCTGGTGGGAATGCAGACTGATGCAGCCACTGTGGAAAACAATATGGTGTTCCCTCAAAAAATCAAAAACGGAACTGCCAAGACCCAGTGATCCCACTTGTAGGAGTATATCCGAAGAAGTCTGATACACCAATCAGAAAGAATATATGCACCCCTATGTTCATAGCAGTGCTATTTACAATAGTTAAGATCTGGAAACATCCCAAGTGTCCATCAGTATATAAATGGATAAAGAAGCTCTGGTACATATATAATGGAGTACTATGCAGCTGTAAGAAAGAAAGATCTCTTACCCTTTGAGACATGGAGGGACCTAGTATTATGCTAAGTGAAATAAGCCAGCCAGAGAAAGACAAGCACAACATGATCTCACTTATTTGTGGAACATAATGAACAAAATAAGCTGTCGACCAAAAGAGATCCAAAATCATGGAAGCAGGGAACAGACTGACAAACCTCAGAGGGACGGGGGTGCAGGGGAGAGATAAACCAAAGAACCTATACGCACAACCAATCAACACGGACACTAGATTGGGGAGGGCGGGAGGGGGGTGGGAGCAGGAAGGAGGGAGTCAATGGAGGAAAAAGGGGGACATCTGTAATACTTTCAACAATAAAATATAAATAAATATTTTTTAAAATGGAGGGAAATTCTCACAAGCAGCCACAACAAAAGGACACATTACCTAGGGGGTCAGGGGTTGGGGTGGGGTGGGACAGTGGTTTGAATGGCTACAGACTTCTCATCGGAAACTATGGATGCCAGAGGAAGTAGCATCTGTAAAGTGCTGAAAGAACTGTTAAACCAGAACTCGATCAGTTTTCAGTGAAAGTATCCTTCAGAAACGAAGCGAGACCTTCTCAAATTAAGAACAACTAGAGAATGTGTTGCCAGCAGACTTCTCAAATAATTGTTAAAGAGGTGCTCCAGACAAAAAAGAAGTGATACCAGGACATGTGAAACATTAATGAAAGGAGAATGATAAATATCTGGGTAAATATCAATAGACTATTTTTTTTCCTCTTGACTTCTTTACAATGTTTGGCAGCTGAAAGCAAAAATGATTTTACTGTCTGACAGGGTAGTCATTACGAAGCTGTAACATGTAAGACAAGAAGGCACACAGTGGGGAGAGTAGTAAGATTGCACCATTACAACTCAACCGGCATCGATCTAAAGTGACTGAAAGTTAAGTATGTAATGCCTAGAGCAACCAGTAATAAAACGGCAAAACGAAAGTCAAAATCACAATAGACAAACTGAAATGGAATACTAAAATAAAGTTCAAATGAACTTCTACAAAATATAGACTTTACTGTAGTTTTCAATATAAACTTTACTATATAATTTTTTAACATGTAAGTTTTATTTTATTTTTATTTTTTAAATCCTCACCTGAGGATATTTTTCCATTTATCTTCAGACAGAGTGGGAGGGAGGAAGGGGGAGAAAAAGGAAGAGGGGGAGAGAGGGAGAGAAACATCGATGGTGAGAGAGACACATCAATTGGTTGCCTCCTGCACAACCCGGACCCGGGCCAGGGACGAACTGCAACTGAGGTACATGCCCTTGACTGGAATCAAACTTGTGACTCTTTGGTCCGCAGGCCAAGGCTGCAACCGCTGAGCCAAACCAGCCAGGGCAACAGTTTTATTTTTTTAAGATGGACAAAGAAACAGAAGGAAAGAGAGATGACCACGAGCCACAGAGGCTGCGCTGGGTACAGGAGGGACCTGGAGGACGCTAGCCTCTGGGAGGCCCCCACAGGGAGGGAGTAGGTGGCCTTTGGCTGGTTCTCGCTCTCCAATGGCCTGGACCCAGAGAAGACCAGGAAGCCGGACCTCCATCCACCATACCCACCTGCTCTTCTGAGGAAAACACCTTGGAAGCAACCAGGTGGCCCAGAGGGTGCCCATCACCATTTCTTCCTGCCCTGAGAGCCCAACAGACTCCTGATTTCAACAGGGCTCAGCAAACCAGGTTTTTGTTCCAAAACCTGAGTGCTAACATTTCCCAGCACAGGTCAGAGAACTTACCCTGTTGCACTGTAAATTTTATAGAAGACAAGAGCTGCTCAGGTCACAGAATCAGTGCTTCCTCTCTGGCCCAACCCTTGAAGGTGGGCTGGACTGTCCCTGTTCCCCAAGGCCACCGTCAAGGCCAAAGCAGGTGGGAGGAACCCAAAAGCTTGTGCAGCCCCTTCTGCCTCCAGGGGATTCAACCGAGCAGTCTCCCTTCATGCCTAGCCCTGTGCTGGATGCTTCACACACATTACTCTCTGGTTCATCCAATGTCTGTGAGGGGCCAAGGAAACTTCCACCCAAAGGTTAGGAAACTAGTCCAAGGCCCAAGGGCCCGCGTGACCTACCCAGGCCCCTGGTCACCTAACTGTGAGGACTGTCCCACCCTCACCAGATGCCCTAGGCTCCCTAGAGCAGGAAAAGGCAGTTTCCTGGACCCCTCAGCCGTCCCCATGATCCCCGCAAGGCTCTGCTCAGTCTGGACGGGGCACAGAAGTCCCCTGCAGGATGAGCAGTCTGCTTCACTGCTGTGGGCCCAGGTGCCTACCAGGGGCTGACAGAGAAATAGGCACGAGAGACCTCCCAGCCCACCTGCTGGCATACTGGAAGGTACGATGTTGCCAAGGCCACCCAGAGGGGACCAGCCTCCTTGCAGGAGAGGCAAGTTCAGGGCCCACCTGTCCAAATGCTGGCAAGCCCCGTGGCAGTGCCGCCGAGACCCTCAGGCCCTCAGTGGGGGCAGAAGCCCTCCCAGTAGGAGGCCCTTCAAAGCACCAGTGGAAACTTAAGGAACGAAGTGGCTGCAGCCTGGCAACGCCTGAGTCCCCAGAGAGCCAGGCTGCGGGGCCAGCAGATCCCAGCTCTCTGTGGCTCCTTGCTCACGGCTGGTGGCCCAGCTCAGCTCTGAGGTGTCTGAGAAGAGAACAGCTTCCGCGGCCTCCCTCCAGAGGCCACTGCTGACAGTTCCACCTCAGTCACCTACCTGGCCTTCAGCCCATTGCTCTGCCATCCCCTCAAGGTGGTAGCTCAGGTGTGTGACCCAACAAGCCTCAGCTCAGACAGACCCTGAGAGGATGCCCAGGGCTGTGGAGGAGGGAGGAAGGGGCTGTGGGGAACTGCAAGCTATGGCCCTGGTGACAGCTGCACGTCACACACCCTTTGCTTCCTTCTGCCTCAGGGAAGCTCAAGACTCCTCCTCCTGGCAGGACTCAACGGCAGAAGCAGGGAGGAAGCCTGGTCCAGCACACTGGCGCCTGCAGCTGCCACCAGCCTCTGGGTCACCTCCCACCTCCCTTACAGCTCCCGCTCAGGATGTTAGTGCCTCTACAGGTGCTGGCAGTTTTGCAAGGATAGTTACAGCAGCTAAGTGCTAGGCGGGGGTTACGAGGACAGGAAAAGGTTTTACTTACAACGAAGCTGCACTGTGGAGAGGAGACAAGGAGAAAGCCGAGAGTTAATGCAAGGCCAGGGGCCCTCCCAGAGGAGCTGGCCAGGCTCCTAGCTATTCCAGGGAGTCTGCTTGGGCCTGCACCCTCTCATCTCACCCAGCCCTCATCCCCAAAAGTCAAGGTATCACAAGCGTGTCCTTCGCCTTAACCTCAAGGCACTGGGGGTGTGGGACGGGTGGGTAGGATGGGGGCCTGCTAGGCCAGTTCTGCAACTTCCCAGTCCAAGGCCCAAGACCCAGGAGTCACAATGAGTTGGCCAAGCCTCTAGGACCCAGTACAGAACCCAAGAGGTCAGGACAGTCCGCAAATGTCAAGGCAGCCCATGGCCAGAGAGGCCTGAGCTAGCCTCTGACCAGTGCGAGGTCATACCTGCCTTGGCCCGGACCCACACTGCTCCCAGCAGCCTAGGGGACATCCAGGAGCCTCCAGCCATGCAGCCTAACTCTAGCGAAGCGAAACCCGGGGCACAGGCTCCCTCACCTTAGGGTCCATGCGCAGGGGAGTGTTACGCTTAATGAAGGATTTCATGACACTGCTCCGGGAGGCCGAGGTCGGGGTCATGAGCATTTGGTTTCTCTGCACGGTGTGCAGGAAGGTGCGGAGAGGCCGTACCACCTGCAGACAGGGACCAGGGTCAGGACGCAGGGGCGGGGCAGAGGCCCTGGGGAGGGCAGGAGCCCACTCACCTTGTTGGCTGGACAGGGCGGGGAAGGGGTCTTGCTCCTGGGGGGCTGCAGCTCCTCGTCCTCCAGCTGCTGCTCCTCATCCAGCTCACTCACAGCCTGCTTGTAGCTGCGCTTCCTCCTGCAGGAGTGTGGGTGGTGGCAGCATCACTGGGCTGACCCCGCAGACCCCTCCAGAGCCCTAGCCACGCTCCATAAAAGTTCACCTCTACGAAGAAAACTGGGACCAGCCCGTAGGACTCTGTGCTACAGAGGTAGGGTCTCCCTGACTGACCCTCCACTGCCTAGGCAGAGGGAAGTGACCAATCCAAGGTCACATGACAAGACACCAAAGGATGGGGTCTAGGATCTGGTCACTCACTCCCAGCCCAGGGTCATCCCGTGGCATCAAGCTGCCTCCTTCATTAGTTCAGGGCACCAGGCCCCACTCCTGCTGAGAGGAAACGGAGGCTCTGGCCACACACCTATCCTCCCCAAGAGAGGACTCGAGGTGCAAGCCCTTCTGGGCCCCTTGAAATAATGGCCTACACACCCTTCCCAACTACAAACCTGACACTCTGGGGTGGCTCCTTGGGGCCATCTGCTTGATCGATCTTGGCCGCTGTAAAGAAAGCAACTTTAGTGAGGGTGCGGGGACAGCATGGAGGGTCGGGGAGGTGCCCACTGCAGCAGCATGGCAGGGGCAAGGCTCTCTTCCTGGCAGACTCCAGGGTGGCCAGGGGCAAGAGCATCACCCTTAGCACCAACTGACCTCAACAGATCTGTGGCCATCCAGGGCCCAGCACAGGATCCTCGGCCCCCAGGCTGCTTACCCCCAAGCCTGCCTCTGTGACAAGAACTGCAGCACAATCCCGAGGTGGCGCTGGCCGCCTCTAACAGAGAGCCGGGGCACCTTTCAGGAACGGAAGCCTGTGGGAGGTTCAAGCCCTAACAGACCCGTGGACAAGCTTAGGAAGTCCACTCCTCCTGGCCTTGCTGGAGCCGACGCGACGGGAGCGGAGGGCAGGGGCCATCCGTGCGTTTTGTTTCACTGCCAGGACAGAGTGCTGATCTCTCCCCTGCCCTTTACTCTGAAGGGTCCTTGGAGACCCCCCCAGGAGCTATAAAGCTGGCATGGCCACTGTCCCTGACCAGGGGTCACTGGGGAAGTCATGTTCAAGGCCTCATGACTACAGTGCTCTTCCCACCAGGGAGACGTGAGCTGGATCGCAGGGCACCTCTGACACCTGGGAAGCCAGAGCCCAGAGCCTACAGCTCTCCCATTCTCTGCAGACAGGGACCACGCAGGTGAGAAGGGAGCCAGCGCCGAGGACAGAACAAGACCCCGGCACACAGCTCCTCCTGGTGTGGAGCTCCAGGCCTGGCCACAATTCAGACCCTTCTCCCACCTCTTCCTGTTTCCTGCACCAACCAGCCACCGCCCCTCACATGACACCTGGCAGCAGCTCCAGCCAAAAGGTGAGAGATGAAACCTGCAGACTCACAGATCTACGCACCCCTGGGTCTCATGCACCTTCAGCCTATCAGCCCAGAAAATGAGGCTTCCCTCCCCCGAGAGAGAAAGTGAAATCGAGGCCACCAAGGTCCACATGGCCCTGGGTATCTGCATAGGGCAGGTCAGGAAGACTCACCTTGCTGCCCCGAAGAGGGTGTTTCCTGGCCACCAGCCGCAGGCTGCAAGCCCGGCGTGCTAATGGCAATCTTGGTGGCACTGAGGGGCCACAAGGTACTCCCTTCATTCTTGGGGACCTAGGGGGAGAAACAGGACTTTAAGGGTCTGCCCATGAGGATGGCAACCAGGGGAGCAACAGGCAGCGGCAGTGTGCCCCAGGCAAACTCCCCGAATCTGTCCCCAAGGCTCCCTGTTCTCCGACCTCACAGGGAGCCGAAGCAGCCCAGCCTGGGCTTATTTCCCCACTAGTCCCTCTCCTGTTCTCCTCGGCCCCTCCTTGTTTCACTGTCCCCAGCTTTAATACCTGTCCTCTAGAATTAAACAAAACACTTTAGGGGTCTGCACCTGGGACTCACAGCACAGAGCATGAGCCCCAGGGCCCTCAAGCCCCCCACGTCCTGTCCTGCCTGGCTTACCTCCGGCTCAGCCTCCTCCACAGGCTTGGCCTCCTTGCTAGAGTCCTTCTCGGGGCTGAAAGCAGAGCAGGAGATACTGTGAGACCCACCCAGCCCAACTCCTCTCCACAGGAGCTCCTCCCCCAGTCCCTGGGTAGAGACCCAGAAGGGTCCACATCAGGTGCCCTGGCCTGGGCCACAAACCCACAGCGCCAGGCAGGATGGGAGGACAACAGCCCGAGCCAGTGGCTCCCTGGCTACATGAGGGATGTCAGCTTCTAAATGTGGCTTCATCTCACCCCCACCAGGGCCTTGATTCAGGAGGTGAGCCCTTTCCCAGCTCCGCCTCCACCCCATGGGCCTGGATGAGCCACGTCTCTTTTGTGGCCTGCTCTCCAGTCACCGTGGGGCCAGCGGAGCCGGCAGCTCCACAGGCCCCATCTCCCCACCCCAAGCACCGACCCTCTGCTCCAAAGCAAGGTTGTGGGCCTGGTTTTAGTGATGGCAGGATGTCGCCTCCAGGACAGGGAACACTGGCCTAAAGCAGTGCTGGAGTGTAATCCTGGAGCAGGGAGCAGCCCCAGCCCCCCACCACCCCCACTTGAATGTGGTTCCTCTTGGCTGCACTAGCTCAGCCACAGGCTTTTATCTGACAGTCTATGGAGCCCACACCCAGAAAAAGGTTCGGAGGGGTCAAGGTCGGGCCAGGGCTGACAAATGATATTGACAAGCAATGTAAGAAGACTTGACACTGTGCCACTCACTTCCTGGTTAGACTGGGGCAGGGGCAGGGCTATGGCAGTGGACAGTCCCCAGGAGGAGGGAAGGGTTGGCCATAGGAAATGCTTCCAATCCTGGGACGCACCTGGGCAACCTGGCCCCACTGTGTCCTGCCCAGTTCTGGGAAGGTCCCCAAGGCCTACAACTGAACTCACCTGACTTTCTGGGGCACCTCAACATTCAGGAGTCTCTCCAGGTAACTGTGACCTGTGGGGAAAACAAAGGAACAAAAGATGATCTCAGAAACAGGCCAGGTGCTACTCCAAGAGGTCCAGGGAACCGGGCTGGTGGGGGCTTGGCAACTCCTAGTTTGAAGCCAGACCCTCTCCACCTCAGAGACTCCTCCCTTCACTGGACAGACCTTCTCCATATTCATAGGACAGAAATGTCATTCCACTTAAGAACATTCTTGGTGAAGGAGTAGAAACTAGTCATTTTATTAAACCTAAACTGATTTATCAAAGATTCTGTGTGGTAAAACAGGAAGCACGCAGAATGCCCAAGTCTCTGTGAAGAGCACGCATGTGAGTTCCCAGCTAAACTAGCTGCTCTTCTCATGAAACACTGTTTTTTTGTTTTTGGTTTTTTTTTTGTTTTATTTCTTTTCTTTTTTTTATCCTCACCCGAGGACATTTTTTTTTTTTTCCCCCAGATAGAGTGGGAGAGAGAGAGAAACATCGACGTGAAAGGGACACATCGAGTGGCTGCCACCCTTACGACCCAACCAGGGCTGGGGACAAACTGCAACCAAGGTACGTGCCCTTAGTGGGAACCAAACCCGGGTCCCTCTGGACCACAGGCCGACACTCTAACCGCTGAGCCAAAAACAGAATTTCGGAAAACAGGTGTCTACCTCCATAAGCTTCATAGCTTTCTAATACCTAGAGATTTTTCTGATGAGACCAGAACTGTCTTCATCTTGACCCTCTTCCTTCCACCAAATGCAAATGGTTTAAGCACTGGGGATCCGGATTCAGGTCTAAAAGCAGGAATGGGCTCTAGAGTCTCTCCTGCCCTATCCCTGGAGCTCCAGGCTCGCCAGCCCCCTGGGGCCTCTTGCCAGGATCAGATTCAGGCGTGAGAAAATCTCGAAGGCAGATCACCATCTAAGCCCTTCTGATGATCCAAACACAGACCACATACCTGCATGTGCCCCAGATTTAGTATCTCCGAGCCCCATGGCCTAGATCAAGCCCTTCCCCAGGTGGGGACAAAAACCTGTTAAGGTGAGGTGTCCTCACGTGCCTGACTGAGCTCCTCCCTGGGGCTTTCCACCAGGCCTCCTCAGCAAGTGGCTGCTGGCCAGCTCACAGACTCAGTGACTTCGTTAAGCCTCAGTTTCCTCCTCTGTGAAATGGGGAAATCCTAAAGGCTAACAGAGCTGCTGTGGGGAACCAAATGAGATACCCTGGAGTGTTATAAATCTTAAAGTGCCAGGTAGATGTTGACTACAATTTTAATACACATTAATTTAAAACCTGGCCTGTCCTCTCCATCAATCCAACTCCTTCTCTGTCCTCTGGCTAGACCCTTGTAACAGCCTCCTGCCTGGTCTCCCTGCCTCGTTCCCTCCATCCGTCTTGGTCATTTTTTTCTTTATTGATTTTAGAGAGAGAGGAAAGGGGAGGGAGGGAGAGAAACATCAATGAGAGAGAACATCGACTGGCCGCCTCCTGCATGCCCCCAACTGGGAATTTGGCCCACAACCTGGGCATGTGCCCTGACCAGGAATCAAACTGACGACCTCTTAGTGTGTGGGTCAATGCTCAACCACTGAGCCACACCAGCTGGGCCCTCTTGGTCATTTTTTATACAGTGCCAGGAACCTCCCAACAACCATCAAGGGCTACATCCTCCACATTAGTGGAATCAAGCCCAAGCCCCTGTGTGGCACATGAGCTCCAGCTACGCCATCACGTCTTCATGCTTCAGGGTCTTCATACAAGCTGTTCCCTCTGCCAGGGATACCTCTCCCCACATTTGTTCTACCTGGCAGGACCCCACCTCCTCCATGCAGCCAGCCCTGGCTCTTAGAGCTGCCTGTCCTCTGTGGCTCCCACCGGGACAATGGTCCTCTGAGCTGGGATCCAATGATGATAAAAACTGCTAGATACAGAGCCCTCTGTACAGGGCAAATGATGTTCTAAGCACCCTAATTGGTCAACTAAAGAAACCCTAATCTTCCAGCATATGCTATTATCACCCCAGCTGACAGGTGAGGAACTGAGGCAGATGAAGAAGTTCCTGTAACTTGCCCAAGGTCGCAGGTGAGGTAACTGGATGAACGGGCACTCAAGCCCAGTTATCTGTCCCTCCCAGAATGAGTCAGCTACGATGACTGTCTACATCTCTTCACCTCAGTATCTTCAGACTAAACAGTTTCACTGACAGGAGCTGCCTACAAACTCGGTGAACCTGAGAGAGCCACCGCAGGAGGAGAGCAGAACACACTGGCCCTGGGTAAAGGGCCCAGGTTCAAGTCTCAGAATGGCACTGACCACAGGGACACGTGCTCTGCCTCCCTGGACCTCAGTTTCGTGTAAAACGAGAGGGTTGGCCAAGATCTGCACTGTCCAATATAGTAAGCACTAGCTAAGTGCGACTATTTTACATCTAGATTAAGTAAAACGTAATAAAACTTTAGTTCCTCAATCACGGCAGCGACATTTTGTGGTCAGCAGATATGGAACATTGACATCACCACAGAAAGCTCTATGGACAGCTTCTTGCTAGATTATGAGATGGTTCCCCACAGTCCCTCCAGCCAAGCTGGGCACCCCACCCACTGCTGAGCCCCCAGACTCACAGATGATGCGGGCAGAGGCAGCCGGCTCTTTGATGGCCTTCTTGGCAATTCTTCTGCTCGATCTGCGGACAGGGCTCTCTGGTTTGGCCATCGGGGAGTACTTCTGGGCCAGAGAATTCTGGGGACCCGGGGAGGAGGGGGTGATCAGGCTGCGCCGCACTGACTGCCGGTCCACACGAGAGCCCTTGGGTGTGGAGAAGTTATCCGGCAGGATGGGAGCCAGCACCCGCTCCTGCCAGGGGGAGGCTGGAGAGCCAGGTGAGTCCTGTGGGCCTGGGGAGGTCCGTGCAATCCTGAGCTTGGAGGCAGACCGGCCTGCTTGGACCCCTTGGCCGTTGGGGTCCTGGGGTGTAGCCATCAGGGAGCTCACGACGACAGACTCCAGTCTCCCGGCTTCTGATTTCTTGGGTGTTAATTCCTCATCCGATATCAAGATGATCTGGGAGGCCGGAGCTATGGCTGGAGCCAGGGTTGGGGACTGAGCCAGGGACTGAGCCTGAGCAGAACTGAGCTGGCTGAGGTACCGCTCAGCAGAGTGGCGCTCGCTGACGCCTATCTCCACCTTGGGCACCAGCTGGCACGGGGCCACACTATTCTTGGGCTTCCTGGTCAGCACTGTGGGAGACTCCGAGGTGGAAGACTCCGAGGTGGACGAAGCAGCAGCCACAGTGGCTGCTGCAGCTGCAGCTGCTGCACGGGTCACCCGCCGCAGAACAGGGCCGTTCTCCCCTGCCACCGTGGCCAGCTGCTCCACCTTGTCCTTGCTGCGCAGGCGCCGGGAGCTCAGCTGGCTGCTCCGAGTCTTTTTGCGGGACAACCTGCCAAAGGCAGCAGAGCAGGGGCTGAGAGGGCCCAGCAGGGCAGGAAGGCGCCCTGGAATTCAAGGAGGGCACCAGTCTCCCCAGAATCTGCCAGCTCAGGTGGAGTAGAAAGCAAAGGGCTTGGAGGCAGACCAGGGTTCTAGTCCAGGCTCTGACACCCTTGCCATGGGTCCCTGGGCCGCTCCTCTCTGAGCCCAACCTGGAAACTGGGGATTATGCCAGCCCTCACCAACTGCTGGGAAGATGAAATTCATAGAAACCTCTCGCTGACTGAGCTCACACCGTGCCAAGCACCCCGCTACAGGCTTTGCTCGTGTTACTTAGTCCACAAACCAGTCCTCAGAGGCAGGGACCACTCTCACTTTAGATTTGAGGAAACTGAGGCTCAGAGGGGTGGATAATTAACAAAAGGATATACAACTACTAAGGGGCAGAGCTGGGGTGTGTGCCCAGGACCTCCTGACCCCAAGACCCAACCTCCCTTGCCAGTAGTCTGCAGCCCACAGTGATCACAATAAGCAGAGCACAGGAGCTGAGCAACAGACCCCTGGTCCACAACTCTGGTGGCTCTCACCCAAGCAGAGAGTTGGATTCTTTCTTCTCCCACCTCTGGAAACCCTTCCCATCCTCCAATGCCCAGATCAAACACCCCTGCTCCAAAACGCAGACACACATTCTGGACTCCACGACTGTGGGTCACGTTTTGTTGCCCTGTGATATTTCACCCCTCAGCATGGCCCACATGGCACCCACCACCACTCCTGCAGGCCTGTGCTCCCAATTAACACCTGAGAATCAAACTCTCCTGGTGGGCGCCAAGCCTCAGACTTCACCTGCGTCGCTGACCCTCCCCTGGCTAGTGGCAGCCCCGGCCCCTCCTACCTTTTCCGGATGGGGTCTCTGTTTTCATCCTGCACATAAGAAATCCGTTTCTTCTTCCGTCGGTTCTTCTGAGACGGTGTTTTTGGCATCAGCTCAGGCTCTTTGCTGAATTCTCTGTTTAGTATAAGGAGGGTAATATTTGTGGCTGCCTGGGAACCACTGGCCCACTCCCCTTCCCAGCTCAGCTCCTGCCCATTTCCTGGCAGTGACAAGTCAAGTTGGGGTGACCAGCACCAAGTGAGCTCTCCAAGGCCATGTGCAAGTCCCCTGCCAGGCACATGGGGCTTCCTCCCAGGGATGCAGCTGGAAAGCAAGGTTGCCAGGTAAGCTTGTACAGCCCCACCCTCGGAGGCCCAACACCTCTCCTGCCTCTACCATTATACTAGTGAGGAGTATAATGCTATGTTATACTATGTCCCCAAAGCTGTGGCAGCCCCAGGCCTCCTGACAGCATGCTGTCCTCACCTGGTGAACATGCGCTTGGCCTCCTCTTCGATCTCCTCGAGCCACACCAAGTCCTTATTGTCCACATTGCAGACAAACTCCATGAGCTTCTGGTCACACAGCTCCAGCAGGTGAATGGGCCCTGGGGCTGCCGTCCCCATGGTGGCTCTGTCTGGTGAAAAATGACAAGAGGCACAGGGCTCAGGGCTGGGGACTAGAACCTTCTCCAGGGGAAGAGGCTGCCAAGCCAGAGCACCCATCCCCCAACCACAGGACACCAAGTGCCTGAATCACAGCCCCTCCCTGCTCACAGCTATCCTGAGATGCAGAATTCCAAATGCCAACCCACTAGCCTCATTTTGCAAAAAGGGCCAGTCCTCACACTCTTCAAGTGCCCTCCCTCCACCCACCCATAGCACGCTGTCCCATAAGTCCACACTTCCAAGCCAATTCTGGTATCAACAGTCATCCTTACAAATGGCCTCTTCTGGGGCTTAAAATGACAAGGCACGGCCAACTGCCTTCCTAGATCAGGGAGACTGTGGCCACCACACGACCCTTCTGCCTGCCCAAACACCGCCCTGCTCTTACTGTCCCGTGGGCTCTCCTCTTCCTCCCTGTGGGTGAGCAAGGGCTTAGACACAGCCACTCGGAGCTACACATGAGCTGACACCAGGCCTCAGGCCAAAGAACATCTAATCCAACTGCCTCTTCAAGAGGCCAGTGAACAGAAGGGGTTCTGCGTTCCAAAGGAGTTGGTAAGAAAGTGGGGAGCAGAGACTGCTTTTCTCCAAGAGGCCCCCACAACTTTCTCTCCCTTGAGCTGAAATGCCCTAGAAATGGATAAGGAAGCATGAGGGGAGCAGGTAAGCAATGTCTTATTTTTAAGAAAACTTGTGTAGAAATATTGGGCAGGGGAAAATACAAAACCAGTTTTCTCTCAATCTCTTAAAAACTAGCAGCTCAGGTATCTCCTTAAGACTCAGTTATACTATCATCACAAGTCCTAGGCAAGGAAGAAGTGTTCTATATAGGCATAGCAGAGGCTCAGTAAATATTCTGACGGGTGAATGAAAGAATGAGTGAATGGGTGAAGGTCATAAGCTTAACCACAAGCTTATGACCTTCTATACCTATAGACCCATCTATACCTATAAAACCAAGAACCACGAAAAACTCAGCCTCCCACCTAAGGCAGAAGCTCCTAGAAGAGGAAGCTAGGCTAAGTCACCCCTAAACACCTGACAGAGCTTAATACACACCAGGTCATGCTGCAGTCTCACAGGACTTCCTGGGATCTGATTTCCAGGGCACATAGCCTGTGTTCCTCGAACAAGCTCTGCTCTCTGTCTGGAACCTTCTGTCTCCTATTGTACAGCTTTCTCCTCATCATTTAAATCTCAGCAACTCAGGAAGGACCTGACCACCAGCCATAATCCCATCCATCTATTTCAATTCTCTGCATGGCACTTGGGTGACTGTGTATCTGTCTGCTTACTGCCTGTCTCTGCCTACTAAACGTAGCTCCCTGAGAGCATGCCCTTTCCGTCTTGCTTACAGCTGAAAGTCCAGAGACCAGCACAGTGCCTGGCATAAAAGACATACTGATGAATGAATGAATCCACCTATCAACTCTACACCTTGAAATAAACATCCTACAGGTACCCCCTTCCCTCCCCGGGACACAAAATAAGCTCTTTCTACACAGGTTAAGGCACGTCATACTCATCCAAAGCTGCGACTCCTAAAATCCAAAAGCAACACTCATCAGGGCAGGGCCAACTGGGCAAGATCGCAGAGGCTCTGCACAGAGACGGCTCTGCAGCCAGCCAGGCACGGGCAGGGCCTCCCCACTGCCATCCCTCTGGCTCCCTCCAGCCCCTCTGTCCCAGAGTTCAGCCTGGCAAACTGCAAGACCCCAGTTCCAGGCCAGGAAAGAGAAATTTGTTTATGGAAGCCAAAACCAAAACACAGGTTCACAGAAAGCAACAACTTATCATCCCTGTGTGTGTGTGTGTGTGTGTGAGCATTTGTTCAAAATGGCAAAGTGGGTGGCAGCTTCTTTCACAAAGTAAAAAAAGTGTTTGGGCTTCCTCCATGGGGAAGTTTGTTTTTAGCAGACCTCGGCTTTAAAAAGGGTCACCAAAAGTTAGAACAAAGGTGACCCTGAGAAAGGAGGAATCAGTGTACCAAGAATGAGGCTCCTGGGGAGAGCAGCAAAAATGTCTTCAGCCAGTGTCAAAACCTGTGCACAAACCCAGAGACCCAGCCTCCCACCGAGGGAGAAGGGAGCTCATCTTTCCCTCCTAATACTTCCCTCACACCATACAGCAGACTAGAGGCCCCACTGCCCCTTCCGCAATGCCTGTTCTTTCCAGAGTGCAGTAAGTTGGGGAGCTGCTCCCATTTACTGAGTCCTACTCCACGCCCAGGTCAAGTATCATCTCATTTAATTCTCACCTCAACCTCGAGGATACCCAAGTGCGGATGAGGCCACGGAGACAAAGAGAAAGGAGCTCAGTCACCCTGGGGCCTGGATTTAAACTGTGCTCTTAACCACAAGCTATGCCGCCTCCTCGATTTCAGCCTCTGAAAGGCAGGCGGTCAAGTTCTGGCCCTGGGCACCCAGAGGCCACGGTGTCTGGAGGGAACTGAACCGCTGACAGCGAACGAGTCTGGGGAGTGACGGGGGGGGGGGGGGGGGGGGGGGGCACTGGCATCCGGGAATGGTTCGTTTAAAATGTTGCTCAGCTGGAGGTGGGGGTGTTGAGCGAAGGTTAACTGTAAAGAAATGCCATCTGGCATAAAGCCATCACACAACCCGGTCAGCGTGCGCTTCCTCCGCGTCCAAGTCAACAACGGCCTCCTAGGCACACGACAGGGTGCTGGGCCCCGGGAGGGGACGGGGTTATTCTCGGAACCTGGTGACCTAGGTGGAAGGTGGGGGGTCATCTCAGGCCCCAGGACCAAGGACGGTCTCCTCGCCACGTGAAAGAGGTGACCCGTCCATCCCCAGGCCGGAAGGGGGCAGGGGATCACGCCCCCGGTCCGGAGTTGGCCGGAGGAGCAACAAATCGCTAACCACCCCACCGTCCCGCCGGCCGCCCGCGCGCACTCACTCGGTTGCACCGCGTCTCCCAAGTGCTTGCTGCTCAGACGCAAGTCCGGCGGCCTCCCTAGAAGAGTGCCCCCGCCCGCCGAGACCCTCAGCTCCCGAACTCGGAGGCTCACGGCTCCGCGGAAGCAATGGGGCCTTGCAGCGCGGGCGAAACCTACGATTTTCAAAACTGAAGACTCGACCAATCCCCGGCAAACTTGTCTGGGCGGCTGCAAAACTCTAAGCCAATCACGTAAAAGAAAGCGCCAGTCAGGCCACCTATTGGCTACTTGGATTGGCAGTCTGCGGGACTAAGAGGCGGGGAAAGGAAGCGTTGACGCTTTAACTGGCTCAGCTTCCGGGAGCCGCGGCCAGCGGCCCGAAGAGGAAGTCGCCCTGCGGTTGGGGATGCGCGCACAGGACTCCGCCCGCCGGGACTACAAGCCCCAGCGTGCACTGCGAAGGCCCTTGCGGGGTTTAGGAGGCGCATCTGGAGTCTCCGGTGGGCAGAATCCAGTGGACCTCCGAGGTCTCGCTCGTTCGGAGAGTCTTCTACTTCGCCGTTTCTTCATCCAGCTTTGTCTTCCATTCAGGAAGTGTGATTGACGACCGTGTTTGACAGGGAAAGCTCTACAAAATCTCTAGTAGTTTGCTAGGGCAGCTGCAGCAAAGTCCCACTAACAGTGGCTTAAGTGACAGAAACGTATTGTCCTACAATTCGGAGGACGGGAGTCTGAGATCAAGGTGCGGGCAGGGTTGCTTCCTTCTGAGAGCTGCGAGGGAGAATCTGTTCCACCCCTCGCTCCTGGCCTCGGTGGTTCGCTGGCGAGACTGGCATACCCCACCTCTTCACGATGCATGGGGCTCTCCGGGTGCGCTTGCCTCGTTGGGCCACGGGACTGTGTCCGAGGCGTCCTCCCGCAGCCAAAGTTCCCGGCAGCGGTGGTATCCTTCTTTCCCTGCCACAGGTATTAGCAGTTCCCAGCACCCAGGAAGTTTGCAGAAACAGGTGAGGTCCGTGCAACCTAATGTAGCTGCAGTGCGATGTAGCGGGATAGGCCCGGACTTGGGACAAATGGACCCCAGTGTGTGACTTTGAACGTCAGCATCCCCATCTGCAAAGTAAAGGAAGCGAAACAGGTGGCTTCTTAAGGTCCCTCCAGCTCTAAAGATGCGTTCTTGCAGCACCTGGGAAATCCCGCTACAATCTCCGAGTTGAGAATTGAGCCCCATGCTGCATCCACTAGGAGGCAGTAACTCACTGCGTTTGGATCCACTGCCCTTTGAACAGAAGCCTCACCTTACTAGATGTCAGTTAATGTAAAAAAAAGAAAAGAAAAGAAAAAAAGGCGGGAATAGGGGGAAATGAGGAATCTCTTCTCAGGTTTTCCCCAAATACCAAGCTACTCTAGACTAATAACTTATAAGTCATGTCTATTTAGGGCAATAAAAAAATGAGTGTTTTGTTGTTTTCCGCATCAGCTTGAATCTCCCCAGACTTGACCCCTTAACCATGAGAAACCATCATTTTTTTCCTGTCATGTTGAACTTGGAGATTATGGACTTAAGTCACAAAATTTCAGGCCTAGAAGGGTCATTTGCAGTTAAGGAAACAGACCAGAGTGGTGAGTGGCTAACTCAAGGTCACATAACAAGTGAGTGGGAGCACCATAACCAGAAACCATCAAAATCAGTTTCTCAGCTCTATAGTGAGAGGTCATTTCTGAAATTCCTTGAGGCTCAACAGTCTGATATTCTGGCCAGTGATCTCTGCTCTCCGATGGTGGTTCTAACCAAGCATTAAATTTGCTTGGTAGGTTGAGGTGTTTTTGGTTGGTTGGTTGGTTGGTTGGTTGGTTGGTTGGTTGGTTTGGGGATTTGGTTTTGTTTTTGCACTTTAGGGTTTTATTTTAAAATGCAACCTAGGGAATGTCATGGGCTGCTCCAGATTCAGCCAGTCACCCTTATCTTCAGCATCAACTGTACTATTCAAGGAACATTGATGTTCAGAATGGTGACCCTGAAGCATGTGGAATTCTGATTTGTCTGCAAAGTCATAAAAAAGAAGAAGATTACATCTTTTTGAGTTTTTTGTTTTGTTTTGTTTTGTTTTTGTTTTGTTTTGTTTTGTTTTTTAATCCTCACCTGAGGATATTTTTCCATTTATCTAGAAAAACAGCAACTGAGGTATGTGCCCTTGACTGGAATCAAACCTGCGACTGGGCTTTAGCTCTAACTGCTGAGCCAAACCGGCCAGGGCTAGTTGAGTTCTTTTTCAAATGTCAACATTTTAGAATGCTTTATTTCCCCCCCTTTTATTGAATTTATTGGGGTGACGCTAGTTAACAGAATTATAGTTTTCAGGTGCACAATTCCACAACACATCATCTGTACGCTGTATTGTGTGTTCACTACCCTAAGTGACTTTTTTTTTTCAGTCTTCAAATATTTTTTATTGGAAGGCCATGCATTGCCTTCAGTCATTGTATTTCAAATCACTGTACATTTCCTTTTGTGAAAACACTTTCTACATTTTCTAGTACCTAAAAAATACCCTAAAAATTGTTTCAGGGATGTAGAGAAATATCCAACTTAAATAGTGAAAAAGTGCACCATAATTACTGTTGTACTGCAGTCACTTCTGCATTCTCCATGTTTCTTATTTTTATTCATTTATTTATTTTGGTACGTGCCCCGAAGCCGGGACTCTCTGGTCCTCAGGCTGACGCTCCAACCGCTGAGCCAAACCAGTCAGGGTTATTTATTTTTTAAAATCCTCCCCCAAGGCTATTTTTCCATTTATCTTCAGATAGATTAGGAGAAAAAGAGAGAAACACTGATGTGAGAGACACTTCGATTGGTTGTCTCCTGCATAACCCTGACCAGGGCCAGGGACTGAACCACAACCGAGGTACATGCCCTTGACTGGAATCGAACCCATGACTCTTTGGTCCACAGGCCGATGCTTTAACCACTGAGCCAAACCAGCCAGGGCTCCCATGTTTCTTAAATAATTATCTTGTCTGATAACACATGGTATAAAGAACGATTATGAAAAACACACATTTACATATAGTTCTAAAGTTTTATTGAGAATATCCTGTCGGCATTGGATAACCAATCACAGGCGCAGCTGCAGTAGCAGGTTATGCCTATGCCTGTTGGTTCATACCATTGTGCATATTTGGAACATTACTTCCAGATTGCTAAATGCTATCGTAAACATTCTGGCAAGCCCCTGTTGGATCAGCAGTCCCGAAACTGGTCTGTATACCAGCAGACACAAAATTACTTCCAAAGTTCCCATTGGTGTAATTTGTAGCACTGGAAACACTATTCTGGGTCTTTGCCCCCCAAATCTCTCATAAGCAGACCAGAGTAACCACTGTCATAATTTTCCCTGTCTCTAAAGGTATTAAACCCACCTCTTTTACCTGCAGGGTATCTGTCCCAAAGGTCATTGTTCACGCCTCCTCTACCCCTGGAACAATCTGAACTTCTGTCTTCAGTCAACTGAAGCAACTTGGGATTAACTGCTTGATTAGCTTCACGAAGCTAATAAGGCCACTCACCTGCTTTATATTATTTAGGTGTAAAGACAGTGTATGCTGTTCCTGTTTTGGTACCGCGGGCAGTTAATTCCATGAATATAATCCTCTGAGAAGTTAGGGTAGCCATAATTGATGACACATTTTACATCTTCCACATCTAGCCCTCTGGAGGCCACATCTGTAGCAATCAGAATAGGAGCTTTTCCAGGTTTGAATTCATTTAGAACCCAGTCACATTCCTGTTGACTCTTGTCACCATGGATACCCACGGCAGGCCACCTGTCTCTTCTCATTTTTCTAGTAAATTCATCACATCTTCTTTTGGTTTCAACAAAGACAGTGGTTTTATTCTCCTCACTCATGATCTCTTCCATCAGATGAATACGTTTCTCATCCTTTTCTACATCATGACAAACATCATGATCTGAAGAATGTTGAGGTTTGCACTTAGTTCTAGTGCACCCCTGTTTATATGACTATAATCTTCCAGGAAAGCTTCAGCAAGCTCGCATACTTCTTTTGGCACTCCACATTAGGGTTTGCCTGTCAGGTCTTATCTGATCCACAACCATCCTAATTTGGAGTTTGAAGCCCATGTCAAGCATTCTATCTGCTTCATGGAGAACAAGGTAATTCTCAGATGTTTCCCCACACTCTAAAAAATCAACCAGTCTTCCAGGTGTTGCAATACAGATCTCCATACCTCTCCAAATCACATGTTTGTGGTGCCTTGGGGGTGCCATCATAGATGCAAGTAGACTTTAATCAACATGCCCTATAGTATTCAGCAGCTACTTGCTGCCAGTTCCCACGTTGGTGCCAGCACCAAGCAAATAGACCCATCACCTCTCTCTAGGAATGGCTGATGATTGATGTAGACAGTGGCAGGCAGCAAATAAGACAATGTATCCCAGATTCAGTCTGTGCTACTCCAACCATATCCAATCCTGTGGGGCAACTGGCCATCCCTGAGCTTGAATAGCAGTGGGTTCAGTAAAGTTCTGTCTTACAATCATATCTATGATGTTTGCAGGGAGGTTTGCTTCATAAAAATTCAGAACTGGCTTTGGGCAGTTGTGACCTCTAACTGTCATTTCCTTGCTGCTTCTGTATGTCTCCACCTCTTGCACTGTGCACCTAGCCAAAGCAGGGTGTTCTTGATAAAAATTCTTCTCAAATTTGGGCAGCTCATCAAGATTCCACTTCTTTTTAACTAGTTTCTCCCCAGGGTTTCCAAACTTCTTTCCTGATAGAGGCTCTACCCTAGTTTCCTCCAAATCGAGGTACACCCATCCCTCGATCCCAGCTGCAGTCTCCGTCACTCCAATAGCCCGGCATGGCATCAATGTTTGCAGTTGGCAGGGAACAAAGTGGAGAGAATCGGGTGTGATGAGTTACTAGAGGTGGCTTTAGTGACAGCAAAGCCTTGCTTGGGCAGCAGCAGCAGAGGGGTGGCGATGACAGGAGCCTGAGCTACTCGCCTAGAGGCCAGTGGAAATGAATGAGGTCCAAGTGATTTTTTTTTTCAATAGACTATTTTTTTAGAGTATCTTTAGGTACACAGCAAAATTAAATGGAAGGTACAGAGAT